AAACCCTAAACCTTAAACCTTAAACCCTAACCCCTAAACCCCAGCCGGAACCCGCCACACCTTTCCGCAGCATCTGAGCAGTCTGAGGGCTCCTCATTTTGTCTATACTTAGGGGTACTTAGAAATAATTTTTAGTCTTTGGTTATTATAAACCCTAAGAAGCAGCTAAAATTATAATTTTTGTTAGGGGTCTAAGTTCAGTATAGTATATAGCATACTATACTTGGAGGTTCAGGGGTAGTTATAAGTAGGGTTATAAGTAGGATAACTATAGCAATGCTGATAGTATATGGGTAGTTCTCTAAATTAGGGTCCCCTTTTGGGGTCCTTTTTACAAGGGTGCCGTACTATATTGGGGACCTGAAAGAGGGCCCTAATTCAGAAAACTGCCCATATAGCATACTATGCCCCAAAGCCCTACTTTATTTATTCAGGCTCCTGAACACAGGCCCGGCCGCCGGATCCGCAAACCAGGCACCTAAACCCCGAGGCAGGTAGCTCAAGGAATACGGTCCTTGTAGAGATGCACATGTGCACATAATGTACGTACATATACTTGTTTATAAGTGCACGTAAGTTCGGCATCGGGCTCGCTCAGAGGCCGGCTTTAAACGTGTTGTAGAACTGCCTTATAAGTTTCATAAGGGGTGTCTAAAGAATAGTAGCAGAGCCTCGGTTTTCAGAGGAAGACCTTGCATTCTCTGAACCCTACCTAACAGACCCTAAACTAGACTGCTAAAACCGTCAACCCTAGTCGGCAAAACCTCATTTAGGGTTTCTGGGCTCGGAGTTTTTGAACGGGGTTCCATCGAGTTTTGTAAGAATGTCACAAGGGGTTCAGGGTCCTGGCTTTCTGAGCCCTCACAGGAACCCTGAAAGGAACCCTTAAAGAAATTCGTAAAGGAAGCCTGAAAAAGAGTCCTCAAAGGTACCCCAAAAAGGGAACGCTTCTCTGAGGCTTGGGCCAGCCGGACCTTTCTCGTTCTGGTGCGCATCTCAGCATTGAGCTGCGGTGTTTAGGGGTTAGGATTTAGGGCGGTGAATAGCTCGTAAGTACAATACTGCCCCTTTATACATTGTAGTCCCGGTCACTATACACCGGATTTAGAGGCGTGAAGGCAGAAACCTGAACAACTAAAAATGCTCGGGGTTCTTTAACATAACAAAGGCAGAGAATCCTAGTCTAATGACTCTTGGGTAAGGGCTCAAATCTGGAATCCTTTGAGACCCAGAAGCCCCAAACCCCCCAAGACCTGCAAAGCCATAGAATCCATTGAACAATTTTTTGTCGGGCACCTATAGAACCGTCTTAGAACTCCTGTCACACCCTATAGCAGCCTATAAAACCCCTGCAGAATCGTACACAATTAGAAACGTTTTTTAGAACCTTAATAAGAGCGCAGAAGCCTGAATAGTTGCAGATACCATTCATCAGGGTTCTTTATTGGAAGGATGCTACAAGACTCTAGAAACCGTTAAAAATTAAGACCCCCTTTAAAGATACTAGACTATCTCCCAAGACCCGATTCCTTCCTATCAAGGCCCCTATGTTAAGGCTTTACTATACCCTTAGACTCTATTCCTTCCTATTAAGGCGCCTATGTTAAGTCTAAGGTTGAATCCATGGGCCTTAGTATGGCCCTTAACCCTGGGACCCTTATATACCTACTATATACCCTGTATGTACCCTTAAGGGACCCTAGAACCCCCCTAAGGGCCCATATCAGGGGCCCATACTTCTAACCTTGGATTAAGGCTGGCGTCACCTCCACCGTGGCCCTTGCGGAGCGCCGGCTTTCGAAAAGTGCAGAGGAGGGTAAAGGAAATGGCAGCAAGGCCGGGGGACGGTTGGAATGGGCATTATGTAGGGGGTTTAGGGTTTAGAGTTTAGGGCTTAGGGGTTGGAATGGGCATTAATGTAGGGGCCTCATTAATTAGAGTAGGGTTTTGGGATATCTTATAATATCATTCTAAGGAGGAACTCCCAAAATACTATTGGTGTTTATTTAGGCTTCTACATTAGTAATACAATGTAGGGTTGCTTTCAGGCGGTTCTTCTGAAAGGGGCCCTTAAGGGTGACTACAGTACTATTGGGGCCTGAATCAGGTGAAGAGGGTTCCTGAAGTGGTTCTACAAGGGTTTCTATCTTCTTAGAGGAAGGCCCAGGAAAGCCCTAAACCCTAAACCCTAGGCCCTAAACCCTATTATTAGTTATAATTCAGTCTTCTATCTTCCTTCAAGGGTCGGGCACTTCAGTTCTAAGTCAGGTCTGAACCTCTGACTATTCCTATCCTCTAAGGTACGGTTTCCTAGCGGTTTGACATCAAGAGTATGACCGTGACCACAGTCCTACTCCCTGTCTCGGTCCATTTCCGACCGCCTGTCCTGTTTCATTGCCTCCTCTTCTGCTTTCTGCTCCCGCGCTACTACCAGCACTGATGCATGTGTTCAAACGACCTGAACAATCAATTACCAACCCTAAACCCTAAACCCTAAACCCCCAAACCCCCAAACCCTAAACCCTAAACCCAAACCCTTAACCGGCGGGAGCGTTTGGATGGTACAACATGCACTGCAAGCCCGAGCCTTCTGAGAAAGCACTGCTTTTCCAACAGTGCTTCTCAGAGTTTCAGAAGGGTCTCCAGACAGCCCCACTTGGAGGTTCATGGGTAGTTATAAGGCTCCTTGGGGGGATCTACAAGGGTTCTATAAGGGCTCTATAGGGGGACCAACAAGGGGTCCATAAGGGGTCATACTTGGAGGTTTCATGGGTAGTTATAAGTGGAGTTATAAGTACCCTAATATAGGTTATAGCTCTGGTTACCCTACTTATAGCCCTACTTGTAACTACTCATGAACCTCCAAGCACACTCACACTTCACTCAGTTTGAACGGCCTTGGAACGGCTCGGTAGAGTTATGAGAGGGTTCTGGGGCCTACTTTAAGGATCAGGGGACTTAGTAATGGGGCTTTACGAAGGCTAGCTGTAGCTATGCGCAGTTATAACCCCAACTGCGGTACTAGTAACCGTACTTACTCGATTTGCTGAACCTCTCAGTACTCCCATTCCTGTGGCGTGCATAGGGTATTGGTAGAATTTGATGTTGTGCTAAAGGGTCCTTTGCAGGTGTCACATAGAGTCGTTAATAGGCTTTCAATCAGGGTTTTGGCTTCCACAGCATTTCAACAGGCTTTGCACGGGGCCTGGAGGGTTGAGGGTTTGGGACTATGTGCACCTGTTGCGACATGTGGCAAAGCTCTACTACGACGGCTGATACGCGACCTTGCAGACCTCACGAAGACCCTAACTTAGTAGCTGAGTCTGTAACCTTTAGCCTTCTGCGGCTTATACAATCCTACCTTAATTTGAAAAGGTTGACTTTTGGGGGCTAGGGTACTCAGCCCCTAAGCTAACGCCTTCTGGTGGCCGTGATGTAAAGTGGTGCCGTAAAATATGGCTGCCCCGCTTGTAATGTGACGCCCGACAATCCTGAACCCCTCAGGCCCTAAACCCTTGTGCGCTGAACTTTAAACCTGTTGTAGAGCCCCTTATAAAATACAGCCCTTATAGGACACTTGTTAGGAAGCACTTTAAACAATTCGAGGCGCTGATTCGTAAACCCTAAACCTCTTAAACCCCTAAATTCCTAAGCCCGAAGCTCCTAAACCCTAAGCCTCTTAAACCCTTAAATCCCTAAGCCCAAAGCTCCTAAACCCCAAAGCCGTGGTCCTGAGCCCGAGCCAGACTAGCGACGAGCAGCCAAGCGGCGCGCGCTTGGCCGAGTTCCGTGCTTTCCAGCGCCAGCCGGGGAGCCTGGAGATGCCTAAACCCTAAACCCTAAACCCTAAACCCTAAACCCTAGGGAGGTTCAGGGAAGCTCAGGGCCCAGGGAAGAACAGGGCCAGAGAGAAGCCCCGGGTGGAGGGAAGCTTAGGGTGTAGGGAAGTTTCGGCTTTAGTGAAGTTTAGGCTTTAGGGAAGTGTCAGCACTGCGAGAACCAGTTGAACTGGACCCAGGATGTCATGCCGTCCACAGTTCATGGCCGCTCTTGATTTCTGGAAGGTTCTGACGCATCAGCACAAATTCGTGCAGGAAATCCTTGCGAACGACCATCACACGGAGGAGCGAGCCACTCAGTGGCAGGCCACAGTCATGAAACATAAGTTGGCCCGCCTCGACGCTGTACTGCGTGGGCAGCCGGTTGAGGATGAAGAGACGCATGGTGCACACTTCCATGGCCAGGCCATGGCACGGGGTTTAGGCTAGGGTGGGGCTCAGAGCGACCTAGCCAATAGAAGCCACCCAGGACTCGCCCACAGAATTCCCGGAACCCGTTTGATGCAGGACCACCTCTAAGCCGGGGCTTTGCAGCATCTCTAAAAAGCCGCTGACTGGATTGGGATGCATCCCGGGTCTAAAGTTGGAAGAAAGGAGCCACAGTACTTCGGCCCAAGGGCTGCGTAGGCAGAAGAAGCCATGGTAGAAGGGCAGCGACGGGTTTAGGGTTTAAGGGTTTGGGGTTTAGGGGTTTAGGGTTTAGGGGTGTAGGGGTTAGGGTTAGGGTTTAGGGAATGCAGCATGGCCTTAGCATCCAGATCAGATCCTGAGCGAACATGCGAGTCCGAGGTGGACCAAGCAACCCAACTCAGGGTTCAGGGTCGAGTATCCTTTATTTTCAAGTAAGGTAACCCTCACATGTTGACAGCCCTTATCCTAACCGCTAAAGGGACCTGTAGATTCTTAGATGGTATCCCTATTAGGACCCCTTTTGTCCTTTTGTTGTTGGGCTCCCTTGTACCCCTTATCATTGCGGAAACGCTGGGGAACCGGAAAGATGTCAAGAAACTCTCTTTAATCACTCACCCTGCACCCTACATCCTAAACCAAAGAGCGACTCCAATACTCCTTAGCTGCAGGTCCCAAACTCATTATTGAGTCGACCGAACCGGTTTTAGCTGGTATCCCTGAATTGCAGGATTCCGAAGCTCTGGGCACCAGGTATCTGACAGTGTACACCATCATCATGGGCGCAGACTGGCTTCAGGCGCCGGCGCCTGTGCCCTTGGCGGTGTGTCGGGGGTTCATATGGCTTGAGGACCCACTTTCAGATGAAAAAAGCGTTTCTAACGATTCTTGGGGCGTGGGTCACGCCCTAACACCTACAGCTCTAGACCGTAAACCCCAAGCCTAAAGCCCAAACCCCGAACTGTTGCAATATAGGAACCTTTTTAATTAGAAGTATAAATAAAATAGGGATTCCTCAGGAATAGTCGTTGGAAAGAAACAGGCCCGTATATTCTAGATATGGAGATCCGGCTCAGGTTTTTCGGGTGCAGGGCTTACAAGCACGCGCGCTCAACAGGCGAGAGGTATATTGAATAAACCCCTCCTATGAAGTGGAGCACAAAACACTAAGCCTCACAGTCATAATGTGGCAAGTTCCTTCCCCGCGCCTCACTTACGAAACCTTGTCCACTTGCGCAAGCCTCCGGATGATGATTTCCTGCATTGATGTGAGACCTAATTAAACCTCGGTGCTCATATGTAATGTTAGGCCAGGGTGTCCGGGTAGGCTATAGAGTGATTATATAGGGACCGAAGAAGGATATGACAAATAGAACAGAGTTGCGGCTTTGGTATCGTCAGTACACGGAGCTTGCAATTGTTTAGTGCCAATTGCTGCGGCCCCGACTTTGCGGCATCGCAGGCCGCACTCCTGTTTTTGGATTTGGATGAGTTTTGGAAGGTTTTCGTGTATGCATACGCAATCAAGTGCCACGTGTTATTCACTAGCGCATAGTCGTTTTTCTGGTTCAGTTTGTAGCATGGCCTTTAACTTTGCGGTGTTCTTGCTGCGAGGGGACGAACATGTACACACTCTACCAGAGCTACGACGTGGACATCAGCACGTTGTTCGTGACAGGCCAGGATCACCGATAGACGATGCCAGCACGACAGTGAGTTGCAGCAAGGCATAACATGGCATGTCAATGGCTCTCTATGGTTGTAGTAGAAATACAAGCTGTCGCCGTTCATGTTTTTGTGTGGCGTGGAGCCGTTGTCGTGGCAGTAAATCCTGCGCGGTGCTGAGATTCTAGGAACACTACATCTTGTCGGGCCCACCCCATGGCATCCAGCTGTTTGTCTGTCAAAAAAAGCAGGGTCGCAGTAGGGAAGGGAGCGTAGAACGTAAGTGCAGAACGATCAGTCGCACAAAGGCCCAAAGGCTTCTTCAGGTCCCTGTGGACTCAAGCGTTAAGTCGGTGTAATTTAGGCTGGGCTACACAATGTGTGCCATGGTGGAAGTGCATGCAGACCCCTCGCTTTCCGCGATGACCTTGCCCATCCTTGCAGAGCTTGCGCTCAGGAAGCTGAACCTCTGTCCCGGGGGCATCGCTCAGATCACACAGACGAAGAAAAGAGTGCCCCAGAGACGTACGCAGGAAGGATTTGGCAGTGGCATTGCCAGTGTACATGCAGGACTTCTGATACCGATACAGACAGTCCCATCAGAGAAAGTGAGGTTTGCCTCTTGTGCAGCCGGGATCGCCACCACGCAGGTCTGTGTTTTAAACCGCGGTGAAATGTACAGCGCGAGCAGAGCCATCGTCCAAGTTTCGGACTGCATTCGTCCACCTATCACTTCTGCCCATGCAGTGTGTGCATCTGCATATTCTTCACTTCGACCGTGCATGGCATCGGTGCGCTGTTCCTTTCAGTGCAGACACGGAGAGAATTTGTTATACGGATACGTCACAAGTGAGCGATCGTGCCATCCTTTTCTTCATGTTTTAAAGAAGATGCTTTTTTTCTTGGATCTTGCCATGCGGTGCAGTTGTGCTGTGGGATCTAGCTTTGTCGCAGCCGCTCCATCTGCAAATCAAGAGCGTGATGAGGGTCGCATGGCTGGGCTTTCCACAAGCAGAGCCGTCGTCCCAGTTTCGGGCTGGATTCGCCTACAAATCGCTCCGGCCTACGCAATGCATCCCTCTGCAGTGTCTTCACTTCGACCGGGTGCAGCACCGGCGTGCCTAGCGTGCGTTTCCTTGCAGAGCAAATACGGAGAGACGGAGAGAGTTCGTTGCAAGGATACCTCAGACGTGTGCGATCGCAGCATCTAGTTGTTTCTAGGCAGGAAAGCACTCAGTCTCTGCTGGACCTTGCCATTGCAAAGGCTGAGCCTTGCGCTTGTGCTATGAGATCTAGCTTTCTCTCAGCAGGCTACGGTGCAAAACACCTCCGTGTTGCGAGCTGCGCGCCCGGGCCGCTGACCACAAGCAGGGCCATCGTCCTAGTTTCGGGCTACACTCGCCCACCTGTCTCCTCGGCACATGCAATCCGCGCCTCTGCCCCGTCCTCACATCGATCTAGCACAGCATCGGTGGGCTTTTGTGCGCAGTGCAGATACGGAGAGAGTTTGTTGCACGGATTCTTCAGAAGCCAGCGATCGTGTCATCTTTTTGTTCATGCGTTAAAGCGGAGGCCTTTTTTCTTAGAGCTTGCCATGCGAAACGGTTGTGTTGTGAGGTCTAGATATGTAGCAGCAGGACCAGCTGCAAATCACGTTCGTGATGTTGGCTGGATGTCTGGGCGGCTTACCACTAGCAGAGCCGTCGTCCTAGTTTCGGGCTGGATTCGCGTACAAATCGCTCCGGCCTATGCAATGCATCCCTCTGCAGTTTCTTCACTTCAACCGGGTGCAGCACCGGCGTGCCTAGCGTGCGTTTCCTTGCAGAGCAGATACGGAGAGAGTTCGTTGCAAGGATACCTCAGACGTGTGCAGTCGCAGCATCTAGTTGTTTCTAGGCAGGAAAGCACTCAGTCTCTATTGGACCTCGCCATTGCAAAGGCTGTGCCTTGCGCTTGTGCTGTGAGATCTAGCTTTCTCTCAGCAGGCTACGGTGCAAAACACCTCCGTGTTGCGAGCTGCGCGCCCGGGCCGCTGACCACAAGCAGAGCCATCGTCCAAGTTTCGGTCGGAATATGCCAAATGGCTTCTCTGCCTGCAATCCGTCCTTCTTCTCCGTCTTCACTTCAACCGAGCACAGCATCGGCGTGCTTGTCCTTGCAGTGCACATACGGAGAGAGTTCGTTGAGCAGACACGGAGAGAGTTCGTTGCAAGGATACCTCAGACGTGTGCGGTCGCAGCATCTAGTTGTTTCTAGGCAGGAAAGCACTCAGTCTCTATTGGACCTTGCCAGTGCAAAGGCTGTGCCTTGCGCTTGTGCTATGAGATCTAGCTTTCTCTCAGCAGGCTACGGTGCAAAACACCTCCGTGTTGCGAGCTGCGCGGCCGGGCCGCTGACCACAAGCAGAGCCATCGTCCATGTTTCGGTCGGACTATGCCCCGTCGCTCCTCCCCATGCAATCTGTCCTTCTGCACCTTCTTCACTTCAAGCGAGCACAGCATCGATGTGCTTGTCCTTGCCGTGCAGATACGGGGAGAGTTCGCCGCAAGGATACCTCAGACACGTGCCGTCGCGGCATCTAGTCGTTTCTAGCCAGGAAATCACGCATTCTTTATTGGACCTTGCCATTGCAAGTGTCGTGCCTTGCATTTGCGCTGTGAGATCTAGCTTTCTCTCAGCCGAGTACGGTGCAAAACGCCTCCGTGATGCGAGCTGCACGTCGGGACCGTTGACCACAAGCAAAGCCCGTCCCAGTTTCGGGCCGCATTCGCCCACCTGTCTCCGCGGCCCATGCAATCCGCCGTGCTCACTTCGAGGTAGCACAGCACCGGCGTGCTTTTCTGCGCAGTGCAGGGACGGAGACGTGATTGCCTCGACCTATGCAATCCGTGCCTCGGCGCTTCTCGTGGTCGCAGCACCGGCGTGGATTGCATTGCAGTGCAGATACAGAGTTTCTAGACAGGAAGGCTCGCATGTTTTCTTGTTTCAGGAGACCTTTTGCATTTCCTGCCCCGGGTCCAAGCCGCCGCAACGAGGGATGAGGGATGCAGTGATTCGTAGTTCCGGACGTGCATGCTGGACGTGGGCTTCAGCGGGCATGACAGAGCTCTTTCTGTTGGTGGGCATGCTTCCGCCACCCTGGCCCGCGCCCTCGCCGCGTGCAGTTAATTACATGTTGCGCCTGCAAGGAGGCTCACGAAGTGCCTTCCGGCCGCGCCTGGAAGCAGCAGGGGATGTGAAGAACACGCCCGCGTGTTGGGAGGCATCCGTCTCCAAACCTAGCAGATTCTTGACGTGTCCCTTCTTGGCACAGTCAGTCACATGCTGTCGCTTTGCCCAAATGGGTGCTTTTTCGATGCAGCTCCGATGCAGCAGCATGATTTTGGTTTTATTGCTGCTGAAGCGGCGTAGTCGCTGCCGCAGCAAAGGCCCCAAAAGCACCTTGGCAAGGCTCGAATCTGTAAACTCTAATGCAAAGGTCAGACGAGACCATGCGTTGCTGCACAAACACGAGCAGAGGCGGGTGCCACTTCTCCGGCCCATAGCTGACGGATGTTGCTGCCAGTGTCTCATGTCATCCAGAGCTGTGCTTCCTGGTGCTCCCGAATATGGTTTGATACGTTTTTGGTCTGGACCATCAGCGGCCGAAAAAAGAATACACTCTCAGAGCCGCCAACCATACTTTTTCTGAGTTTCCCTGTATACTACTATTATCGAGTTCGGAGTATATATGGACCCGCGGGGTTTCGAAGCTGACAGTTTCCGGCTTAGGGTTCAGGGCTAAGCTTATAATAGGAACGACCTGCAAGCCTCCCTTCCACATCCTAGTGAACCACGATCTGGCTCACCTGAAAGTGCTGTCGGGAACTGGCATCGCAAGCCCTAAACCCTAAACCCTAAACCAGAGCTGACATGCTATTTAGTTTAGGGTTTAGGGTTTACGTCTGCCACCTCCCTCCGGCCCTCTCTCTCTCGCTGCATTTCTCGTGTTCCTCTGGACACAGGTTCAGGCGCCCTCCATGCTGCTTCTGGGGGTTTGGGGTTTAGGATGGCTCTCATAGGTTCAGGCGCCCTCCTTGCTGTTTTTGGGGGTTTAGGGTTTACGTCTCTTTGTCATTGAGGCTCAGCTGGGCCATCCTCACAACCCCAAACCCTCAACCCTAAACCCTCACCCCCTCGCCCCTGGCCACTAGTCACACCACACCGACACGCGCTCTCCCGGCTCCCGCTTGAAAGTCATCGGCGCCGCCATCGTCCCAAGTTCGTACACACCTTAACCTACCAAACCCTACTTTTTTGTATGGCCCCTATAAGTTCCATATTAGGGTTTATAGTAAGAACCTGCAAAAAAGTAGGGTTTGGTAGTTTAAGGTATGTTGTGCTCGAAGTCTTGTTCTTTCTGGTCCAGGCCCCTCTAATTAACAATCACAAGCCGGACCTTGCTAACGCCTTAGCCACAACACGAACTCGAAATCCCAAACCCACAACTCCAAAACCGCAAAGTGCCAAAGACTAAATTCATAACTATGAACCTGAAGTCCTGGCTGTCATTTAGTGAATGCTAGGATCCCCGGTAGCCTGTGAATCAACAGGGCTTCCTTTTTGGTATTGCATGGGTGGTGTTGTCAGGAACCTAAGACCACAAAAAAGGATAAATGGCCCACTGGGAGGCCTAGAATGTAGATTTCAAGCTAGAAGAATAACCCCTCTACCGCAAAAAGGCATGGTTGTAGAGATCCTACAACATTCCGGCCCTTCATAGAAAGTTCAGCAGGGGTCTACGGAAAACTCCTGATCTCCAAATCTTGAAGCCGCAAGGGCCCGAAGTGCCCAGACTCCCAAAATCGAAACTCCACACCCGAATTTAGGGTTTAGGGTTTAGGGTTTGGGGTTTAGGGTTTAGGGTTTAGGGTTTAGGGTTCAGGGTTTAGGGTTTAGGGTTTAGGGTTCAGGGTTTAGGGTTTATGGTAACCCCGTACCCCTAAACCTAGAACCCTGAGCCGGACCCTGATCCCGAATTCTGTACCCCGAAGCCTCAAGCCCTAAAGCCCTTCTAGTGAACTACTCCAGACCCGAATCCCTAGATGCCTGAAATTATTCCCTTGGTGGTACATTACGTACCCCTAGTAACCTCCTAACCTAAACCCCCCATCCAGATGCCTGGTGGTAACCCACTACCCAAAGCCGTCTGAT